AATGCATGCCAAGGCTTAAAGCAGCAACAACGCTACACATAAAAACTGATGATGGTGGAAAAATGCACCGAAACGTATTTTGAGTGATAAATAGAAACAATAAATGACTGAAACTCAGGAATTTATTTTGATTTGGAATTGAAACACAGTCAGGAAAGTATGTACTTCTGATTTACATACAGGGTGCTAATGGGACTGAAAACTGTAAAGGCGAAATAGTTTAGATGCGCAAATTTCACTTAGTTTTGAACAAGTAGCGCTAGTTCGAATTAATCTACAAAGAATACCAAAATACATTTATCTATTAAGTGTTTGTGGTTTGAGTAATCAACAAAAGTATTAGTTAAGAAAATTGAGACTGAACCTTACAGATGCGTTTGCTTTATGTGTAGGCGATGTTCCAATTTCGATGTTCTTCTAATCAATTAGCTCGGATATTTATCGAGATTGTATATAGAAAAATCGAAATTGAGGCACTCCTTGCACATGATAACCGAACGTCTAATGGGTATAATCGTATTGATTATTCGTTTCCGAATAGATATGTGACTGCCTTGTATATGCAAACTTGTAGATAGGATTTTTTAATTTATTTTTCAACGCTCCTTATTGGGTGGCTAAAATGTCGTTTATACCGGATTTTCATTAAATACTTTCAATTAGATCAAGTAGTTTTATTACCACTGTGTCAGTAAATAGGGAAGAATAGGTAGGACCTGCTCAGGTAGCAAAATATATTCGTACAATATTGGCTATATGCAACATACTGGATGGCTCAATATTGTTAATAATTATTCCGCCAATATTGAAATGTGAATGTATGTGTTTATACAAGTGAATATAAGTTTTAAACACTCATAACATGTTCTTATTATCCGATTTTAATTAAAAATAAATATATACATTCACATTTCAATATTGGCGGACACACCTCTGGAGTTTGGATCGATTCTCCACTAACAATATCACTTCAAATTTAAATGAATATTAAGATATTGTATGGCTGCAAAAGAGATTTTAAATTAATATTCAACCCTAACAATGACATATTAGTTTCAATTTAAAATCAAAATCAATTCCTGGGCTTCAGTCATTTATTGTCTATTTATCAATTAAAATACGTTTCGGTGTTTTCCACCATCATCAGTTTCT